AAAAAGCAACACCAGCAGCCAACAAATGGCGCTTAGGGAGTTGGCCAGGGCAGGCAGGTGGAACCCAAGCGACATCGGGGTGAAGGTGGTGCTTCCTGGCGAAGACACTGGCGACAGGAAGCAGAGGAGGCCAAGTGGGGGTGAAGAAGGGTGGGGGGTGGGAAAGCATATATCGCTGGTTACAGGTTGTTCTGTCTCCTGCTGGAAGCTCCGTGAAGCTGCTTTCTGGTACCCCCTGTTTGCTGATCTCTGATAGGAGTCCAAGATGGCGGATCTGTGCTGTTTTAGCTGATAGGGGACCTCTGCGTGTATCTCTCCTCACTCTCTGTTCTTGGTCAGTTTCTTATTCCATTCTGTGCTTGGCTGAGATCTTTATCTCTTCATTTGATGCTTAAGGTTTCAGGATTGCTGTTTTCTCTGTTTGGCTTAGTTTTTCGGATCTTTGCTGTGGAGGGACGGCATGGTGCTTCTCCAGCCTTCCAGTTTTGTACTCTTCACATTATCATCCTGTCTCACTTCCAGTTTTATCCTTGTTTGTTGTTAGGTGCTGTTGAGTAGGTTCTGACTCATAGTGGCCCCATGTACAACAGAATGAAACTTTGTCCAGTCCTACACCATCCTCACAATTGTTGCTATGTTTGAGCCCATTATTGCAGCCACTGTGTCAATCCATCTCCTTGAGAGTCTTCCTCTCTTTCTCTGACCCTCCACTTTACCAAGCACGATGTCCTTCTCCAGGGACTGGTCCCTCCTAATAACATGTCCAAAGTACTTGAGACGAAGTCTCACCATCCTAGCTTCTAAGGAGCTTTCTGGTTGTACTTCTTCCAAGACAGATTTGTTCATTCTTCTGGCAGTCCATGGTATATTCAATATTCTTCCCCAACACCATAATTCAAAGGCATCCATTCTTCTTTGGTCTTCCTTATTCATTGTCCAGTTTTCACATGCATTACTACCTTGAGCAAGTTACTTTGCCTCTAAGACCTCAGCCATCTTATCTGTAAAATGGGAATCAAACCTAAACCAACAAAAGAAAATTGGTTGGGAAATAGGACCTCTTGAGATCCCTTCCAGCTGTAGAATCAATCAATCAATCAGCAAATATTTTTAAGATCTAATAGCAAGTAATGGAATATCTAGCCAAAAGCAATTTAAACAAATAAAAGGCTTATTTTTTCTCTCATAGCAAGAATTTAGGAGGTAGACACAGAGGCTGCCATTAATTCATTGGTTTAATGATGACAAGAAGGATACAAGCAACTCTATCCTTTCATTTCATCATATTTAGTGTTGTCTTTTTGTTCATACGGCTGTTGCCTCATGGTGGCAAGATGGTTTTTGCAGCTCCAGGTGTCCCATCCTTGTCAATATTCCGTGATGAGGTGTTTTGATTTTGCAACCTTGCTAAATACACTTATTAATTCTAGTATTTTTGTAGATTTCTTAGTATTTTCTATATAAAAAAATTCAAGTTGTGTTAAAAACAGTTTTACTTCTTCCTCTCCAATCTTTCTGCCTTTTATTTTTATTTTATTTCATTTTTTTCTGACACTGTGGCACTAGCTAGGACCTCCAGTACCATGTTGAATACAAGTGATAGGAGAAGACATCCCTGCCTTTTCCCAATCTTAGGAGGGAAACATTCCATACATTTATTATGTTGTTAGCTGTAATTCTTTTGTAGATGTCCTATCAAACTGAGGAAGATCCTTTCCTTTATAGGTGATGAGAGTTTTGCTTTTTGTTTTTTAATCATGAATGAATGGGTGTTGAATTTTGTCAAATACTTTTTCTACAGCCTTTGAGATGATCATATGAATTTTCTCCTTTATTCTGTTTATGTAGTGAATGGCACTGATTAATTTCAAATGTTAAACTAACCTTGCAGTCCTCCAAAAATTCTTATTTGGTCATGTTATCTGATTCTTTTTAGATATTGGTGTATTTGATGTGCTGATATTTTGTTAAGGATTTTTACATCTATGTTCCTAAGGAGTATTTTGAGGTGTTGTATTTTCATCATCATTTTATTTGAAATGTTTTCTAATGCTGTTAGCTCTTAAGTGATACCTCTTGTTAACTAGGTTTTGTGTTTCCCTTGTGTCTTAGTTTCCTCGTACTGCTATATTAGAAATACTACAGGTAGGTATCTTTAAAAAACAGAAATTCATTTTCTTATGGTTCTGGAGATTAAAAGTCTAAATCAGGGTCTCCGCTGTATCGATTTCTTCTTTGTAGTACGTTCCAGGGGTTTCTTGGCTCTTTGGTTCCTTGGCTTGAGGATCACCTCCACCCCCTCGTGTGTGTGTGTGTGTGTGTCTGTGTGTGTGTCTGTGTGTGTGTCTGTGTGTGTGTGTCTTTGTATCTATCTGTTCTTTTTATAATTCAGAAGTGATTAGATTTAGAACCCATCCTACTTGGATATGATCTAATTAACATAACAAAGAAAACCCTATGTCCAAGTAGGATTATATCTATGGATATAGGGGTTGGGATTCCAGCACATATTTTGGGGGGACACAATTTAATCCATAACATCTTGTTATGAGTAAGAGTAGGCTGATAGACCACTCTGACAGCTGTGCTCCTTCCGCCTTCAGAGACTCTACATTTACTGTTTCCACTGCCTGAAATGCTATTCCTTCCTATAGGCCTGGAATTCATCCTTCTCGTACTTAATTCCTATTCACCTTGTAGGTATAACCTCAAGACTCACTTCCTCAAAGAAACCTCCCCTGACTACCCAGATGAAGTCAGTTCCATATTACCTGTTTTTGTACTTTCCTACATCTTTCTTTGCTAACTCTTATCAGATAATTATTATATATGAATTATCAGGAAATACTGATGGCAAACTAACCCATTGCCATTGAGTTGATTCTGACCATTACTGACCCTACAGGACAGAGTAGAACTGCCCCACAGGGTTTCCAAGGAGTGGCTGGTGGATTCAACTGCTGACCTTTTGATTAGCAGCTGAATGCTTAATCATTGTGCCACCAGGGCTCCGATGGTATACTAGTCTGGCATTTTAGTAGAGGCTTCCCGAAGAGAGACTGTCATAATCCAAACCAATATCTCAAATGCAATCAAAACTTGCAACTGCAGGTAATTTTGAAGGAACCTGGCCCTAAAATCACAGCAAGTTTGTGGCCACCTACTTCAACATCTCAAAGACTGGCCTTAGGTATATGTCACAGGGTTTTCTAATGTGTAAATTATCCAAACTGATAACTTTTTATAGCAACAGATTGCCAACATAGAGCACTGAAGTAGGAGTCAAAAAGATTGCTTCTACCCTCCCCTACCCCGCCCTGTCTCCAGGGGATCTTGGGCAAGTCACTCAACCTTTCTGTGTTCCACATTCCTTAACTGTAAAAGGAGGTGGCTGAGACTAGATAATTCCTACAGCCTTTTTGGCTTCAACATTCTGTGGCTTTATGATTCTAATGTAGGCAATATTAAAAAGTCAGTATCTGCTTCTAAAACCCAAGTTTCCCTGGTCATGGCTAGCCTTCTTCCATGAACACTGTCTGAATCCAGGGATGAAACATTACCATGAGAAGGAGGTGACCCAAGCTAGTGCGGATCAAGAAGGATTCTGCTTTAAAATTTATAACTAGTAGTTCTGTCCAAACTTGTTTTACATGAGAAAAGGGATGGAATAGGAAGTTCAAGGACTCTCATTTTTAAAAAAGTTTTAAACTGGCTAGCTGGCTGGTCACTTCATATCTCTGAGGTGTGGTGTATTTATCTGTATGAAAGAGGAAAAAAGGATGGGACTCATGATTCCCAAGGTCTCTTCCAGCTCTCACACGCTAAGGCTCTGTGACTTCAAGGCAGTTTATTGCTAAGCTAGAGAGAGGAGCCTTGAGCTGAGTACAGGTCATCAGGGTCAACCTCAGGAACTGTGCCCTTCAACTTACGATTTATTCTCATAACCATTGTGTGTGTTGAGGGGAAGGGCCTTCCTCAGAATAGGCTCTAAAAACCAAACCCACTGCCATCCAGTCGATTCAGACTCATAGAGACCCTATAGGACAAAGCATAACTTTGCCATGGAGTTTCCAAGGTTGTAATCTTTAAGGAAATAGATTGCCACATCTGTCTCCCGGGGTTGAGCCACCGGTGGGTTGGAATCCGACCTTTGGGTTTGCAGCCCAGCGCTTTAACCACTACGCCACCAGGGTTCCTTAGAATAGGCTCTAATATATGCAAATTTTGGCAAGTAAGAAATCCTGGCTACCTCTGACTAATTATGTGGACCTCAGGAAAGTCACTGAATGAGTTTGAGCCTTAGTTTCTCCATCTCTAAAATAGGGATAAAACCAAAAAAACCAAACCCGTTGCGGTCCAGTCGACTCCGACTCATAGCAACCTGATAGGACAGAGCAGAACTGCCCCATAGGGTTTCCAAGGAGCAGCTGGTGGATTCCAACTGCCAACCTTTTGTAGCTCTTAATCTTTCAAGAGTTGAGCAAAAATACCTAGTTCTTGCTAAACTTTCAAGGGTTATCTTCTATAATTCTTAGAAGTACTAAAAAAAAAAAAAAAAAGATAAGCTGCAACGTCATAAGCAGATTGAATGCAGTTACCAAGGCTGGCCCTACAACTAAATGGGCTATAACCGGCTGTAACCACGCCACAGGACAATGCCCTTCCGGGGTATTATCTTCACGTTTTACATTCCCAGCCTAGAGTTAGGTCACATCCAAATCCATACCAAACCCATTGACGTCGAGTCAATTCCGACTCATAGCGACCTTATAGGACAGAGTAGAACTGCCCTCTACGGTTTCCAACGAGCGCCTAGTGGATTCGAATTGTCGACCTTTTCGTAAGCAGCCGACCTCTTAACCACTATGCCACCAGGCTTCCAGCTAGAGGGACTGGCTCTGGGGATGCCAATCATTACGGCTCAGGCCCGCCCCCGGCTCGGCTCCGCCCCTCATCGTGCGCCCTCCCGCCGGCTGCGTGCGCGCTCTGGGAGTGGACAGTGACGCGACAGTCGGGGGCCGGGCTGGGCTGCGGCTCCCGGGAAGAAGAAGATCCTCTAGAAAGCGCGGTCAGCGTTGCCGCCGCCGCCACTTCGCCGCAGTAGCCGTGATGCTCCCCGCTCGCGGTCCTCCGCTCCCCGGAGCCCCGGCCGCCGTGTCGGGTGCAGCCGAGCAGGTGAGACCGGCCTCCTCGACGCGGACGAAGGGAGGGCGGGATGCTGAAGCGGCCGGCCTTGGTGGGAATAGTTGAGTTGGGGAACCCAGCGGGTTGGTGAGCGGGCCGCGGGACGAGTCCCTCTGCCCTGGCGCCCGAGAGCTCTCCCGGAGCCCTGCCCCACGGCTACCGTCGGTTTCTTCCGCGTCGGTACCTCCGCTGCTGCCAGCACAGCTCTGCCGACCGTCCCCCGACCGCGGGCAGCAGCTGCCCCTGCCGCGCGCGGACACATCCGGGTGCCCCTGCTGCCAGCAGCAGTGACCCTGCGTGGCAGGTGCTCTCCCCCGCCCCTGGCAGGAGGAACCTCGGCAGTCGTGCTGTCGCGCCTCCTGTGTGACCACGCTGCTATCCTTTACTCGCTCTGGTGTATCCGGCCCACACTAGGAAGGGACCTGCAAGGGATAAAGAATGTTTCACCGAGGACCTGATTGGGTTTTTATCGCAACGTCTTACACGTTCAGCGTCATTTTTGCTTTGCTCTGCGTTTGCTAAATTTCATGCCTTAGATTTCTCCTTGGAAAAATAGAGCTAATTGCGCGATAAAGTGATGGTGCAGTCAGTGTTCCTCAAACTTGAGTAGTCTGTGGACTTCTTTTAAAGGGATAGTTCTCACATTCTCAAGAATATGTTCCAGAACCTACTGGGGACACAGTTAGATGAACATTTTTAGAGTATGACATTTATCACTGAGAAAGAAAAGAAATGTTTTATAATCCAGGAACTTCCATGCAAGAAGGTAAACTAGAAATTATTAAAGGATTCTTAATCAGAGGCTCAGATGCCCACTTTAATTTCAGATTGCAGTCTTTATTGTGCTCTGCTTTGTGTAATGAAAATACCTGCTTGCCTAGCCTTAGGGAGACCTAAAAGAATAATGTTCTTTGGGTTATCTTATATTTGGTATTATCTTTGTATCAGGTTTGCTAATTATGTTTGACACATTAGCAGAATTATAAAATGGAATACTGATTTTTATAAAGTAAGTTATTATTTCTGTATTTACCTAGATATTGATTTACCACCGCTTTTGTCACGTGTTCAATTTATGGCTTAAAGTCTTCTAGCCCTAATAGAGACTACTCAGTCCTTGAGTATACAGTCTAGAAAGAAGAAACAAAGATAAAAGTTGATCTAAAAATTTACATTCTCTACATATTTATTTAGTATGGTTATTTAGAATAGACTACCAACAAAGAAAATTCAGAGTTTGACAAAGACCTGTATCTTGAAAGAAATGTAATATTGAGAGCAGGACATGCCACTTAGGAGGAAGTGGCATTAGTAAAGGCCAGAAGCAAGAATGGGAACAGCTTGTGTTGTGGGGGAAAGAAGAAAAAGACCTGCCTCACTGGAGCAGAGTGGATATTATCTGGCAGTGGAGAACAGGTTGGTGAGATAAAGTGGGACCAATTGATGGAAGGATTTAGGTGCCATGCAGGGAAGTTGGTGTTGACCCATAGGCTTCCAGAAGATTCTTGTACTGGTTATATTTTGAAAGCAGTGTTTTACAAAGAGGAATCAGTTGACAGTGAAGGCAGAATGTGGGTGATCTGCCAAGAGATCTGTCTTGAGGTAGTGTTGCCTACCGTGGTCATTTTAGATGTGCAGAATATTTGAGGAAAAATGAACAGAATTTGGTGAATGATAAGTCAACCCAAGGAGAAGTGGGAATCGAAGTTGAGAATCAGGTGAACCCAGTTAATGATGATAACTCTGTTAGATGTGGAAAATTTGGAAAGCGGTTTATTAGTTTGACAAAAGATTGTAACCCCAAGTGTTCATCACAGATGAATAGATAAACAAAATGTGATATATACATACGATGGAATATTCAGCCATAAGGAGAAATGAAGTTCTGATACATGGTACAACATGGATGAACCTTGAAAACATTATGCTGAGTGAAATAAGTCAGACACAAAAGGACAAATATTGTATGATCCTGCTTGTATGAAATATCTAGAATAGGCAAATGCAGAGACCAAAGTTTATTAGTGGTTACAGGGGCGGGAGGGAGGAGAAAATGAGGTATTGCTTAAAGGATACTGAGTTTCTGTTAAGAGTGATGAAAAAAATTGGAAACGGATAAGGGTGATGGTTGTACAACATGGTGAACGTAATTAATGTCACTGAATTGTACATGCTGAAATGGCAAATGTTTTGTTATGTATATTTTACCACAATAAAAATTAAAAAAATTGTAACTGCAGACTTAATTGAGTTTGCAGTGGCAGGACTCCAGGAAGCGCAGAATATGGGATCAGAATTTGAGGGAAATTGCAGAGATGGTGTGGGAAAAGTGTGACCAGAAAAAGACCACTTAAAATGAGGACCAGAATATTGTAAATGAATAGTGAGAGGTAGGAAGCAGTTTGATTAGGACTTGATCTTGACAACAATAAAGAACAATGATGAATCTGTGAAACATCTCATAACATGGATGAAACTGGAGG